AAGTAAACACCATTGCGGAGACAAATTTAGTACATGAGCACGGCAGCCTCTCCAGGCACTGGGGGTTTCATCAAAGATGCTGACATGAACAGGAGAATAAAAGGAAAAGAAAATTAGGTCCACCTGGGTCCTTTCCTCACACCGTAACTCTGAATAAATCCCAAATGAATTAAATGGGGAAAAAATTAAGCCATTCAAAAAAAGCCGTATGATTTGAGAAGCGGGGGAAGGGGCGCTCTCTTAACTATGGCTCAAAATCCCAAAACAAGGAAAAAATAAATTGGCTGCTTTGAGAAATGCTAGGCGGGCCTCCCTGCTGGCGCAGGGGTTAAAGTCTCAGCACTATGAACGATCCGGAGCCACTGTAGGACGAGTCAGATCCCCCGCCACGGAGCTGCCCACAGGGTGCGGGCAGACCTCTCCTGTCTCCCTGCTGCTCCCCTCAGCAGTGTATTTCAGTAGATCTGCCTGTTCTGCTCCCCACTCTGTCTCTGGTGAACACTCTCACCCCCTGCACCTCTGGCCTGCACCCCAGTTTTGGTATGCATAAAAATTTAAACAAAAAAATTATACATAGGGAAGACGCATTTGCAATTTATATCACAAAGGGTTAAACACCTCTGGCAGGCCTAAGTCTGCAGGCCTAAGGAAAACCTGCAATGGCTCATCGATTTGGGGGTTCTGCCCTGCCCTGAATCAGAGAAGTGGCTGCGGCGTCTAACCGTGTACACTGTACAGCTGGTGCTGGACACCTGCTGCCTCTCTGGGGCTCTGCGATCTTGGGTCTTGAGATGCGCTGGGCAAAGGTGCCTTGACCAGGGAACATATTGGGCCCTGGGCCTCCCTGGGGCATCCCTTCCAGTGAGCTATTGGACCTGGCACTGATTGAGGACGCCTGTGTTTCTCAGAGATGACCCTGGAAACCTCCAGACTCTGCCTCACGCGCCACCTGCCCTGACAGGAGTTGCTCTAGACCTTTCGCTGTCATCCTGTGATGGTTCCTGGCAATTCACTGAAGCGGGGGCTGGTCTATGAAACACACCCGAATGTATGAAGAGCGTCTGAAAATAAAGGAGTAGGAGGCCAAACCCCCACAGGGTAAAAATGGGCTAGAGAAATGAAACAGAAAAAGGAAACGCAAACGCCTCTTAACCATATGAAAAGCTGCTCATCTTCCCACAGAATATAAGAAATTCAGATCAAAACTGCAACAAGATTATCATTTCTTACCTTCCAGGTTAGTAAAAAATCAAAACTCTTGGCAACACACTCTGTCGGCCTGCTTGTCTGAAGACATCAGCCACATGCCGCAGGGCGAGGGGGTGTGACACTGTCCAGCAAAGTTTACCCTTACCCCTACCCTTGCCCCAAAGGGTGAATTTACATTTCCCTTACATTTGACCCTTTGAGAGTAAAGCTGATGGTTGAAAGTTTAAGGAAGGATACGTACTTAACATCAAAATCTCTCTCCCCAAATGACATAAATGACAAAGTCAGTGGAGAAATCTAGGGGCATCCCCGACCCAAATAATTTCACTGAATTTCCTTCTTAAACCTTCTGAAAAGATGAATCAGGGCTGGAGATCTAATTTACAACAAGGGGATCGTAGTCAGTAAGACTGTATCATAGACTTGAAAGCAGTTATGATGTAGATCTGAAGTACACACGCGCACGCACACGTGATACAGTTAACAAGTTTGTCTTTCCCCCATTTTTTGCAATTCCCCTTATCTAGCATTAACAGGATTGATGACTTGTCTTTCCCATTTGTTGCAGCTTCCCCTCCCCTTGGAAGAAAAAAAAAAGCTGGCGCCCACTGGTTTCCCTGTAGACCCTTCCCCCTCGCCCTAAGGAAAACAAGTTGGTGATCACCTGATCACCCGTCTCTGTGCCTTGACACCTTCCCCTTCCCTTAAGATGAATGAGCTGACACCCATCCATCTCCCTGTTGAGCTGGCGCCCACTTGTCTCTGTGCGGACCCCTTCCCCCTTCCCCTTCGCGGATGCCTACCCATCTCCCCCTGTATAAATACCCCTGCCCACTGCCAAAGAGGGGGACGGTGGTTTTTCGGACATGAGTCTGCCTCCCTCCTCATTTGTCAACAAATAAAACTGCTTTCCTTTTCCTCAAACTCAGTTTCCTTTTATTGGCTGAGGAAACTGAGGCCGGCGTTCGGTAACACACGCACACACACACACACACACACACACACACGGTGATCATGTGACCTGGCCGAGGCGCCAGCTACCACCCCAGTGAGCACCACTTTGCAATATATTACAAGTGTATACTCAGCATCTGCAGGCCTGAGACTGCCAGTGTGCTATCAACTACGGGGAGTTGGGGGGGAGGTCTAAGGGGAAGTGCTAAGACCTCATCACTTCTGGGGCACTCCTGGCAAAAACACACAGCTGAGACATCATCATACTACCTGCCTGCTGAGAACGTCCTGTCTGGAAAGACAGAAAAACACTAAGAAGCTGGGCAGTTAAACGCGAGGTGAAAGGATGCCAACCAGGCAAGACGCAGGCTGCCAGCGGAGGGGTCTTTGAGACCCCTTGCGGCAAGCCAGGCTGCATAGTAGCTAATACATTGCAAACGTGGAAGCTTCTGATCTTGCTCTTTGGGCTGTGATAATTTAAGAGAGTCCTTATTCTCAGAAGTACACAATGAAGCCTGTGGGTGTAAAAAGGCATCATGTCTGCAACTTGCTCTTAAAAAGCTGGGGGAAAAAAAACAACAAGAAAACGTACAGATACACAGAGAATGATAAAGCAGACGTTGATAGCTGGTGAAACTGGAAGATCTGAGTAGTTTTATTTTCGGCACTCTTCTTGCAGCTTCTCAGTAGACTTGACGTTTTTTCAAAATAAGTTTAAAAATGTAAAAATCTGTATTAAAAATGTTCTGGTAAGAGAAGTGATGCTAGTATTTGTGGACTATCTCTGCAGGCTATGCTGCCTGGTAATTCCTTTAAATAAATACCTTTCTCCTTGGATCACGAAGACCAAGTGGGGTCCATGGAAGCCTGAGCCCCCACACCCTGTGCTGACCGTGTGGGCCTCAGGTTTATTAGGAGGTGCTCGTCGACCAGGAGGAAATTTACTTGTTATTTTAAAACACCGTTTAGTAGGATGTCTCTTAAATCACTGAAGCCCACTAGCTATAGTTCAACATGACCTTTTCTTTTAGAATTTAGTACTCAAAAAAGTTTCTTCACCTGAGAACTAGGTACCGCTCTTCCTGCAGTACTGACCGTGTTCCAACTCTGGGACAGGAGGACCAAGGCACGTGGGAAGCCTGACTCTGGCAGCCACGGACATGCTCAAAACCAATCTAAAACCAATTTCTGCCCTCTGGGAAATCTAAGAATCACTTAGATTCTTAACTGATGCTTAAGTCAATTTAGCCTCTCCCAGGTGGCTGCTTCTGGCTCCATACTGGACACAGGGAATTGTGGTTACCCATGTCATTTCCATGACAGAATATGTCCCCGTGAAACCCACCCAGAAGATTCCCTGTCACTGTTCCTAAGTCTTGATGCCAAAGCCCGTGACAGCCTGAACACAATGACACGCCTCTTGGCCAGAAAACCGTGCTGACGTTCTACTCCTGGTGAGCAAAGTCACAATGTTCACTTACCTCTAAAGGTCAAACTGAGCCAAGGATGCTGACTAGGATACCCAGCTTGCTAAGATTAAAGGTCTGACCAACTGCAGTTATTCCTGGATTGCTGTTTCCAAGAACTGCATTGTACTGTAATGGTTTTCACTTGCACACGTGGGAATGAAAAATACCTTTTCCTGTTGCCTTCCCTCCTGATACAACCAGACCTCAGGTGTACACTGAGGCTGTGAGGAGGCACAAAGGAAGCTAACCATGGGGGGGGGGGAGATAGTTTTAAGATCAATACTGATTTTGGTTTGTTTTTTGGGAAGAAAATAAGGCGCCACAAAATTTCTGATACAATCTGTGTTTCGTGGATCAGCACGAGCCAAGAGGCCGTGTTTCCAGCTTGCAAGCAGTTCCGGCGGCTTCAGCAAAAGGAAAGAACATCAGTAGGAGAAGGGCTGTAGCGAATGAAGACACCCCCACAAGGTTGCCAAGGAAACCAAACCAAGTGCATTTTTTTCCTACAGAACAGAATCAAGGCTAAGACGAACAGGGCAGAATATTTTGTGGCAAAAATGATGAAAATCCCAATCCTGAAAATAATCTTTTTGGAAGCTGCACTGATGCCCCAGCTCCAGTCCCTCGCGCACCCAAGCAGGCAAGCGGCCCCTCCAAACTTCCAGCGCCGGTCCCGAAATCAGCCGAGCTCGGGGCGCCCAGAGGAAAGGAGGGTCCCGAGGTCCGTCCCGCCCACTTGCCATCAAGAGGCGATCATATGCCACAGGCTCAGAGGGGGAGGGGGAGAGAATGCCTCTCCACAGGCTTTCCCAAATTTAGACTTTCTGTTTTTCAGAACGGCATCTTTTTAACCTGTTTTAAGCGAAGGGCAAGTCCACGCGAACGAAAGCAAGAGCTGGGCCGCGCGAGGCGCGCGTGCACCCCCGGCCGGGGGCGAGGGGCTGCGCCCACGGAGTCACGCTGGAAGATGGGGTCCGGCTCCCCACGGCGGGGTCGAGGGCGGCCCGCGCGGAGGGGCCGGGCCTGTCGGAGCGCTGGCCGGTGCGGCCCCTCGGGGGGCAGGGGGCGGCCGGCAGGACCCGCAGCCCGCAGCGCGCCGGGGGCGAGGTCCCGCGCGGGCCGGGGCCCCCGGCGCCGAGAGGAGCGGCGGGGCGGGGAGCCCTCGCCCCAGCCCCGTCGGGCGGGCGGCCGGCGCCGGGTCCTCGCGGGCCGGGGCTGGGGGGGGACACCGGGGGGCCCGGGGTGGGGGGGGGCCGGGGGGCCGGGGGCGGCCGGCGGACAGCGGGGCGCGCCTCGCCCTGCAGGTGAGAGGGGCGGCGCGGGCGGGCCGCGGGCCTGGCGGGAGCGGGGCGGGCGCGCGGCTCTTACCCGGTGCCGCAGTCCACCACGCAGGGAGGCAGGGAGCCCGCCATGCTCGGCCGCGCCGATCGGGCCCCCGGCGGCCCCGAGGCCCCGCCGCCGTCCGCGCGCCGCGCCGCCTGCTCCGGCCTCCGCAGCGCCGCCCCAGGGCCCGGATGCGCGGCGCCGCCCCGTGACGCCACCGCGGCCGGCCAATCACGGCGCGCGCCCGCCCCGCCCCCGCGCCATCTTTAGTGCTGGCGCCGGCCTCCCTGCCCGGCCTCCGACCCGGCCGCGCGGGGACGGGCGTTTCACCGGCTCGGGAGCGCGTGACCCGTTTTCCGTGACGGGCTCCTCGGCCTCAGGCTCCGCTCGCGCGTCACCTTCACGGGAACGCGGCCCCTGACGTGCCTCGTCGCCCCCGCCCCGCGGCCGCCCCCACCCCCGGGCGCGGGCGGGGCGTCCGGGCCTGCGTCGCGGGTCGCCGCGAGGCGCGCGGGGGTCACCCGGCCCGGCCGCTCAGCGTCCGCTCGTGAGCGACTCCGTGTCAGCCCGAGCGGCGGCCGCGCGGTGTCGTCCTCAGAGCAAAATCCTGCCCCACGGACGCCCGCCCGCCCCGGCGGTGGACGGACGGACGGACGGGGTCCGCCGCGAGCTGAGGGGACGCCCCGGGCGGCGAGGTCAGGACGCTCGCCCCGAGGCTCCCCGTGTTAGGCACCCGGTTTTGTATCGGGGCTGCCCTATAACACCCGGGCCTGCTGTGGGGAGGCGCCCGGGGCTCCGGGGCTCCACACGCGGCCGCCCCCGCCAGTCGGAAGCCTCGGCTTGGGCCTGCAGCGGCGCTCCGGAGCCGGGGGCCGGAGACGGGGCCTCCCTGCGGCGTAACTGGGGTTTCAGGCCTGTTGGGATTTTTGTCCCTAGAAGCCGTCTCAGTTTGTCCCTCCACGTAACCCGTTGTCATTTTGTCTTTATAGAGTCAAAGAGGCCCAGCCTAGAAAGTGTTCAAGGCACCTGAAGATAGCAGTAGGAGCAGGTGAAAGGTGAGTTCCCAGGTGAGAGGTGGAGGCCCAGTCTGGAGCCTCAAGGCCCAGGACCGAGACCGCCGGTGGCTGTGTTGTGTGTTTTGTAAGGGTCCTGCTCCACTCCCCCGTTGGGGACTTTAGTCAGAAAGTTACACCTGTGGGCCTCCCTGGCTTCCCCCACCGCTGGCCTGTACCCCAGCTCTTGTATGCATAAATAAATGGAAGGAAGGAAGGAAATACATAAACCGCAGCTCGCAAACTGCCCCCACTGCCATATTTTTTCCTTTCATCCCCTGAATGGTTACCAGGTGCCAAACACAAGGCAGGAATTTCATGAGGCTGTGAGTGGGAGCTCAGTCTGTGCCTCCAAGGCTTTAGAGCCTAGTGAGAGAATCAATAGGTCATCACAGTATAGAGTGGTGAACACTGACAGAGGCCAGTCCAGGGTGCCCTGGTCAAAGCCACTACCAGACAGCCGACACAACCGACACTTTGCGGGGAGTCAGACCCTGCAAAGCCCACCATCTAAGCTGAACCCCAGGGGCTGTTTCGCTAGACCGTAGAGGTTGCAGGGTGGGAGAGTTTCCAGGATGGGACCTCAAGATTCACTGATGGCCATGTCCTCTTCTAGCTCTTATAGGAACTTGAGCTGGCCAGTAAGAAGGGCTTATCTTTTCCAGGAGCATTCCTTCTCTATAGGACTTACTGGGAATGAAGGCCAAGTCAATAGCTGGTAGAAAATAAAGGATTTCCTGACTTTAGTTTTTCTTTCTAGACATCACTGAACCTGGATGTGTTGATTAAGATATGCAGGTTATGCTCTGCTCCCCGCTCTGGCTCTGGTGAATTCTCTCACCCTCCCACACTTCTGACTGTACCCAGTGCATGTATAAACAAAAAATAAATAAATAAATAAATAACATGCCTCTATTAAAAAAAAAAAAAAAAGATATGCAGGTCACAGAAAACCTAACTAAGGTAGCACAGAGAATGAGCTGGTTTTAGTATTTTATATGCTAGAAAATCCAGAAGTTCCGGGATCATTTAACCACTGGAGGGCATCATTGTGGGCCCAGCATGCTGTACCCAGGCCCTGGGTGTCTTGCCTGCTCTTTGTCATCAGGCTCATCCCCTGCAATTGTAAGAAGACGTCTCCCGCAATTGTAAGATGACGTCTCCCGCTCCAAGCACAGAACTGGAGTGGACAAAGACAGGGGGCTGTGCCCGTCCAGATTCCTTTCCAAGGAGAGAGAAGGAGGAAACACTTCCCCAAAAGTCCTCAGAGCAAATGACTACTTCCCCCGATTTCATTAAGCGGCTATTTGTTTCCTGGACCTGCTGGAACAAAGTACTACAGACATGAGGACTTAGAACAAGTCATGTCTCCGCCCGCATTTCTGGAGAGAGCCAAGAGCAAGGTGGGGCAAGGTGCCTCTGACAATGCTAGTGGGGACTCCTAGGCCTTTGTCTCACTTTTTGGTATTGCCAGAATCATCAGTGCTCCTTAGCTTACAGATGAATCACTCCAGCCCTGACCTCCGGGTCCCGGTGTCTTCTGTGTGTGTGAAAGCATTTCCTGGAATTATCCGTGCCTGGCCTCCTCCAGCCCTATCAGATGCAGACCCCACCCTTAGTGCCTCATCTTGACTTGATCACTTGTGAAGACCCTGTTCCCAAACAAGACCATCTTCACAGGCACCCAGAGTTCAGACCCTGACGTGTGACATGTCTTTGTAGGGGACAGAGCACAATTACACACCAGCCTAGGCCAAAGCAGTCACTGGCAAGGGGATCTGACATGTCAGGACTGGTTTAGGCTGTAAAGGCGTCTTCGGGCTGCGAGGGGGCCTCGTGCCCTCAAAGCATGTGACCGCCAGTGCCTGGCTGGAATCAGATTGGATCAGCTAGAAGGAAATGACAACAGTGGTGTCCGGCTCCCCAGCCATTTTCTGCTTCCATCAGAGAGCCTCACCTACGCCTGCCTTCTCACTCAACGTCTGCTTCGAATTTGTCCTGCTTGACCCAGCGCAAGTCAGCCACCTCCTTGAAGCTTCCCTCAGCTTCAGAAAAGGATTGTTTCTCGCCTGTGCTCCCACAGAACCTGGTGCCTCCCTCCACATGGGCCCTGGTGGGGCAGCTTGGCAGTGGCAGGACTCCAGGCACCCCTGCCCCTAACCCGCAGGCTTCCCTTCCTCCAGGCCAGGGACACTGCCCGGGCAAGGGTGCTCAGCAAGTGGTTAGTGAATGGATGGAAGCCACTGGGCTTGATTACACAGGACATTTGCTTTTTGTGTTATTTAAAAAATTTACAATGCTCTATGTAACTTCCATCAGTATTTCTACCGTTGTCCCCACGTACTCTCAACATACTCTTTAGTCATAACTCCCATCACTCAGAGCCTGACAGCATCACTTTTGACAGCTTTGGACAGGACAGAGACATAAGCCACGGTCCGGAAGAAGCACACCGTGTACATCCGTGCGGTGATACTGCTAAGGGGCCTTCTTCCTTCCAACATACTCTGCAAAACTCCACTTTCGTGCTGAGTGGAGTGTCTTGGGCTCTTTAGCAGGGAGAGGAATCTCTTTTTCATCATTTTCTTCTCAATAATGGCCTCCCAAGGCAACCCCGCCCAACAGACAGAAGCGTGGAAACTGGGACCTTCCTAACTGTTTTCTGTCATCCCGAGTGGCATCACTCCCAAATCAACTGTTAGTAAGCACACTTGATGTTGGTGATGATGTATATTTATGATGCATAGAAAGATGATTTTTTTTTTTGGGGGGGGGACCCTCACCGGTGGCCGGGGATAGAACCGGCGCTGCAGAGGCTGCGGGCAGCTTCGCAACCCAGCGCTCAACCGCTGCGCCACCAGGGGAGGCCCAGAAAGATGATTTTAAAAGCAAAAAAAAATCAGGACTTGGACATTGTCAATCTAATGGGATTTGGTCCCCGAGGCCTTGGACAAAGTGTTCTTAATTCCCGCATTTAACTCATGCTGGGCTAAGAAGGGGGAAAAATTTTTAAAAAGACTTAAAAACTGGGGCCTCCCCGGTGGCGCAGCGGTTGAGCGCTGGGTTGCGAAGCTGCGCGCGGCCTCTGTGGCGCCGGTTCGATCCCCAGCTGCTCCCCGGACACCGGAGGAGGGTCCCGCATGGCGCGCAGACCTCTCCTGCCGCCCGCTGCTCCCCTCAGCAGTGTACTTCGGTCCTTCTGCCTGCTCTGCTCCCCGCTCTGGCTCTGGTGAATTCTCTCACCCTCCTGCGCTTCTGACTGTACCCAGTGCATGTATAAACAAAACAAACAAAAACAAACCAGCAAACAAATAAATAAAAAGCATGCCTCTATTAAAAAAAAAAAAAAAAAAAAAAAGACTTAAAAACTGCCCCCCCAGCTGCGGTGAAATTTGACTCAGAGCTGCAGGCAGGGCGATCTGTGTGTTCTCTGTTGCAATGAGATTGCACCTAGAGAAAGGATTCCCCCAAATTAGCTCCCCTTCCTTGCAGAGTAGCTGGCATTCTTTGGGGGGAAGGGCCAGTCACTGCCCACAGTGGGTCTCCCAGAGGTCTGGGCAGTAGCTGGAGAAAACGGTCCTTTTTTGTTGCCAGCTGGCGACGTGTGCTGACAACAGCCCCCAGGTCACAGGCTGGGCGGGAATCACCCAGAGCACTGACCTGAGGGTCAAGCCTTAAAGAAATGGGGTGTCGGCCACAGGTGCAGGGGGTGAGAGGATTCACCCGAGAGTGGGGAGCAGAACAGGCAGATCTACTGAAATCCACTGCTGGGAGGAGCCACGGGTGAGACAGGAGAGGTCTGCTGCACCATATGGGTCAGCTCCTTGGCCAGGGATGGAACTTGTGCTGCAGAGGCTGTCGATAGCTTGGTAGCGCGGTCTTTAACCCCTGCGCCCCCAGGGAGGCCCCTTCCCGGTTCTCACGGAGAACTGAGTCACAGCGCTGCCTTACTCAACAAAGCGTTTCAAGATAGCATCGCATTTACTCTTCAGGATACGTCCACAAAGTAGACACTATGAATGCCTCTCTGACCAAAGAAGAAAGCTGAGGTGCAGACTTTCCAAATGAGGATATCCTACAATTTAATTTTGACATCCGCTTTAGTAAATCTTAAGAGAAAGGGAAAATGCTAAAGTGTTGGAAAACGAGCACGTGGCCGGCAAAGGTAGAATGTGTGAGAGCCAGAGGGACCAGCGGGGGGTCGGTCCTCTGGTGCAGGGTAATCCCCAGGGGGAGGGGAGGTTCCAGGTTCCCCGCCCCCACGCAAGGGAGGGTGGAGCTGAGTAGGGAGGAGAAGCTAGACAGGAGCCTGGGGGAAGGAAGCGAGGAAGGAGAGGCAGGAGACCTGCAGGAGGCGCAGGGAGCAGAGACACGTGAAGAAGCTGCGCTTGAGCTCGGGCTGGGACTCGGAAGGAGACACTCGAAACTGACAAGGGCCCCCCAGGGAAGTTGACAGCGGCAGACTTTGTCCTGATTTGGATTTTGCTCTTTTCCTTCCAGACTTGCCTGGCCCTGTCTGCCCCCTTCCCACGGGTCCCCCCAGAAAGTGTCTTAGACGTGTGGCAGGTTTTCGCGCCTCAGTGGCCGTTTTGGGCCAACCCCGCCTGGCTGGGCATCTACCCACGAGGGGACGGGTAACATTGGGTGTTCCATGTGGCAACTATTTTATCTCTCCTTTCCCTTCTCTTTATTGCACACTAATTGCATTAAAGTTCCTTCCTATGACCGGTCTTATGCATGAGAGTGTTTTCTCTTGATGCGATGGATGGCATCTAGAGCAGGCGGGTTTAGGGGTCCTGGGGTGCTTCTTCACCCTGCCCTGTCACACTCTGATCATTTCAAATAGACCTAAAATGTTTGGATCCCTTCACCTCGATGTTTTCTAACTCCAGTAAGAAGAGCCCATGAACTCCCATTAGGCCATCACTGTATGTTCTCGAGACTGAGTAGAATGCAGTAAAATCTCATTTTTCTGCCAATAAAAATGAAAGTGCTGAGTCATGTCATGGGGCGCCAGCAATCTGGACAGAGCGTGCTGCCAGAAGCCAAGTCCAAAAGCTGCTTGCCATTGTGCAATCTCACCAGAACCAGGTCTTGGAGGAGTCGCTTCCAGGGGCCTCTCCTTTCGTGGGGGTGTTCATTCTAGAACATGTTTTAGAAGCAGCCCAGTGGGAACCCTTATGTAAATATAGTAGAAGGAGAGAAGCAAGGCTGTACCATTTCAAAATACCTTCCGCAGACATCGCTGTGGTTCATTGTGACAGGACTTGTGTGTGCGGGAACTCTGGAGAAGCCCCAGGGAAGGGATGGCCTACTGGTAGCTGCTGGAGGACAGCGCCAGGCTGCAGGGCCGGTCCTTAACTGGAGTTGAAACTCTGGTTGCAACAATGTATCTGAAAATTGGTCACAAAATGACCATGTGTGGGCCTCCCCTGCTGGCGCAGGCATTTGAGCGCAGCCCTGTGAAGCTGTCAGCAGCCTCTGCAGCGTGGGTTCGATCCCGGCCAGCCGGCGAGACTCCCACACGGCACAGCAGACCTCTCCCGTCTCCCCGCTGCTCCCCTCAGCAGTGTGTTTCAGTCAATCTGCCTATTCTGTTCCCCACTCTGTCTCTGAATCCTCTCACCCCTCACATTTCTGGCCTGCACCCCACCTGAAATTCTAGATTCCACGTCTATAAAATGAAAACAATTCTGGGAAGGTGAAGGGATTCCTGGCATTCACATTATCATAATAAATTAGTGGTTGCTTCCTTGGGCCAGCTGCTGAGGGAACGGATATTTGATGCAGGGCGCAGAGGACAAGGGTAGCAAGGAGGAAAGGGTTGCTTATTTTTTTAAGACTTGGGCCACTGTCAGAGGCACTGAATATTGAGCTCCTGCCGCAGGGGGAGGATAACACTGGCGCAGAAAACCTCCCCTAGAACAGGGGCTAAAGGCAGTTTGAGGGTCTGTAGGGGCCAGGAACAGGGCACAGAGCAGGTTTTCTGATCCGGCAGACTGGGTAAAGGAGGAGAGAGTCCTGGAGCCCTCAGTGGTTTTTTGCAGGCTTTTAATGGGATTTACCCGGGTCACAGCAGGCAGGGATGCGGGCAGGCCTCCCAGCCCCCAGCAAGTCTTCACTCTATCTGGGCTCTCTGGCCTTCTCTGCTTCTCTCTCGGCTTCTGCTGCTGCTTCTCTCTGGCGTCCCCGTGACGCCGCCCTTAAAAGCCCAGTCTCAGCCCAGGGGAATCCCATCTCCCTAGGCCCACACCCCGCTCCAGGTGCCGCCATCAGGCATGCGCTCAGGACCGCAGGGATCCATCATCCATCCTGATGGCGGGAGGGCCAAAAAGCCTGATACTTTTTACCTTACCCTACAGTGTCTTAAACTGAGCACCCTAAGGAGGATGACCCTGGGGTACAGGAGCTTGGGCTCCTCCCACCCCCACCCAAAATAGCAGCTTCAGGGATGCAAATCCAGGCCCCTGCACTGAAGTGGTACTTACAGGTGATCACATAGAACATCTTGTTTTCCTTATATGGGTTAATATGTCTATCCTGAGCACAAACAACCACACAGAAAATGAGCTTTTGGAACCTAGTCGTGTTTAAATTGGGAGCTGTCTGTTAAGAAACATAGCTAACGTTTGAAAATCCTTCCTAATCACTACGCTGAGCTCTCCATGGACAATTTCATTAATCCCCCCACTAGCTTTGGGAGTTTGGTACTGGTGTTACTACACTCATTGTATGGTTGGGGAAGCAGGTTTAGAAAGCAAGCGATGACATGTACAAATATTTGATCTTTATGTTGTGCACCCGAAACTTATCATGTCGACTATACCTCCATTAAAAAAAAAAGGAAATGAAATGAAATGGTGGATCCGGGGTTCAAACACAGTGATCAGATTCCAAAACCCCCCCTCAGGCCAGGCTGTTGGGTGACAATCTCTTGATTGACAGTCTGTCAGTCACCAGGAGAGTTACTGTCTTCACAGGAGGGGGTGTGAGTGGTGATTTAGGGCTGGACCTTGAACAGAGTGATGTGGGGTCACATTCCGACTGTCACTCACAAGCTGAGTTGCCCTAAACAAGTTTCACATTCTCAGAAACTTCCTGCACGCACACATAAAAAGGGAAGTCGTGTCCACTGTATAGAAATGGTGCAAATGTTTTAAAAGGTGGACGTGGGTGCCTGGCACTTAACAAGCATCCAGGCAGTGGCCTGGCCCCCTGGCTGACAGACAGCTGCTCTGGGAAGCTTGAAAGCGTCAGTGAAGATGTAGAGTCAGGACAGGACACAGGGCAGGTTTTCTGATCCCATGCAGACCGGGTAAAGGAGGAGTCAGAGTCCTCAGTGGTTTTGCAGGTTTTTTATTGGGGTTCACCAGGCATATGGCAGGCAGGGGTGCTGGGGGGCCGGGAGGCTGTCAGTCCTCCCAGCCCCCAGCAAATCCTCACTATCTGGGCTCTCCGGACTTCTCTCGGCTTCTGCTCAGCTTCTCCTCAGCTTCTGCTCGGCTTCTGCTGGCGTCCCCGTGACGCCGCCCTTAAAAGCCCAATCTCAGCCCAGGTGAATCCCATCTCCCTATGCCCACACCCCACTCCAGGTGCCGCCATCAGGCATGCGTTCAGGACCGCAGGGATTCATCATCTATCCTGATGGCGGGAGGGCAGAAAAGCCTGACATTTTTCCTTACTCTACAGAAGAGAAACCACACCGAGCAGTGTCCAACAGTGCTTCTATTCCCTCTCTCAATTCTTGGGCATGTCATCATCAGGTGTTACATAGGAACCCCCAGTCAGTGGACAGGCCAGCAGACCATCACCATCACCCCACACCTGTGGCCTTCTCATAGTCACCTCCACTTCTCGCCACCCGTGGGGTTACCTGCAGTTCATAAGAGAGAAAAACAGGGTGCGTTCTCAAGCTGAATTGGATTTTGTTGATGGGATCCAGGGCTGGTAAAACAACCACCCCTTTTATTAGACTTTGCTACTTCGTGCAGGGGATAGAAGGTGCTGGAACCTAAGGAGAAGAGCATAAGATATTCTACAAACTGATTTTAACCCCAAAGAACAATACACAAGAAATCTTTCCACGTTTCCCTCCAGCCTCCTGGACCAGTTAAATGATTCTGCCACCAGCCCGGGTCTGCCACCCACAAGCTGTGCAGCCTTGGGCCAGTTGCTTAACCTCCAGTTTTAGTTTCCTCACCTTCGATTTGGGGGTCTCAAAATGCCCTCTTTACAGACTTGGGGGAGTAAATGGTCAGCCAGCAGATTTCCTCCTCCCTCCTCTGTTCCCACACACACCTGTGCTACACTCCAGTGAGGTGAAGGTGAGCAAGCAGTGGATGCTTGGCGTGGGACCTCCAGGTGAGCATGAGTCACGTGAAAACAAGTCAGGAAGGGCCCCTCTTGGGAGCCGGCTCCTGGGACAGGGGCGAGAGGGTTAAGGATGCTCTAGGTGCTCATGTTTTACTTCAAAAGCCTACCTGGCTTAAAGCAAGAGCTCCAGGCCTGTTTACCCACTTCCATCCTGGGGCTGTAACATCTGGAAGAATGACATATCCCCGGAGGTATTTGATATATATATATATTTCCTTTAATTTGCAGCTGCCTGTGGTATTTAACATTTGAAACATAAATACACCACTAAAATCAAAATATTTCATGACTTTTCTTCACTGTATCTAGCAATCAAATCAGTCATTCTTTCAGAGAAGAAAACTTAAAAGCCTGACAAGCTTTGTTCTCGTAACTGCTTTGTAACTGATTGATTGATGGCTGTCAGCCATCGCTACCACTCTCATGTCGGTCAGTTTCTCAAGGGGCTAAATAGGAAAGCCAGATTTGATTAGTTAATATGAATACTTTCAAGTGATAAAATTCCTCACTACAATAGTGCCATGTTTTCTTAATCACAAGGTAAGAAAACAATTTGAGGGAGGAAAGTGCTTTAAATAGTGATTAGAAAATGTAACCCATGAAAAAATGATGGCTTTTAATTGAAGAAAAATTTCAAGTGCCTCGTCCTGCAAAATGCAAGTGTAATCAACAATGAAGACTGAATCAAAGAGCCTTCTGGATAAACCCAGGTAGGCCCCCATCCCTTCGTGGCTTTGAGAAGACTATTTCTAAGTTTTAGATGATTTTTAAAATAACCTCCCTACCTGGTGATCACAAATAACATCTGAAGATTCTTTCTTTTTTTTTTTTTTTTTTGAAGATTTATTTATTTAAGCTTACAAGAACTGGGGTACAGGCCAGAGGTATGGGGGTTGAGAGGACTCACCAGAGACAGAGTGGGGAGCAGAACAGGCAGATCTACTGAAATGCACTACTGAGGGGAGCAGCAGGGAGACAGGAGAGGTCTGCTGTTCCATGTGGGAATCTCCCTGGCCAGGGATCAAACTTGTGCTGCAGAGGCTGCCAATAGCTGATAGTGCTGAGACTTAACCCCTTGAGCTACCAGGGAGGCCCTCGTAACAATATTTGAAAAGTGTATTGATTACCTTCTGCAGGTGATAGGACACCAACTCATTATTTGAAAAGTTAGAAAATAAAATGACACAATCAAGCTTGTATCCTGACTCCCCTATAGGATTGTTATAAGTGGGTTCCTTCATAGATGTGTGGTAGCTTCTTCCTCTAAGATTACTGCAACTTACAACTTAACATGAACGCTGTCATGGGAACGTGACCTCTGTGCAGCCCCTCGTGTGTGAAAGGACCGAGGCATTGTGCATCGATGGCTGCTCACAAGAGCGAAGAGCAGGCGGTGTGTGTCCTGATGAAAGAACATGTCACCTGTGGCTCGGGCTCCACCTCCGGCAGCTCAAGCTTCCAGATCAGCATCCAGTGTTGAGAGACCGTACAGCAGCGGCAGATGGCACACCTGTGGCTGTGAGTGTCAACCGGCCCAGCCATTCTGGAAAACTATTTCATGGTATTGATTAAAGTTGAACATATGTCCTCCCTGTTACTCAACAATTTATTCCCGGATGTAGAGCCAAGATGGTGGGGTGAACCTACACCCTTAAATTATATCCTGTGTTATGAAACAATGCTGCCTCATTAAAAGATGGTACAGCCTTACCAACAGTAATAAAATAGTATAGTTTTAAAAATACAATAAACTTAAATGTAATATCACACTACTTCCAATCTTTAATAGTTACTATATTCTTATGTATTATTTCATAATCAAATCATCTACAAATTGACTTTAAACTCTGTTACAATTTGTCTTTTACTCTGAAACAGCCTCCACTCTCCTCCCCACCTTAGGTGTGAAGATTCCATGACTAATAAACGAAAACCCAAAACAACTTCCCAGTGAAAGCCCAGGCCGCGGGAGTCAAAGCAGGGCCGTATCTTGGTCAGGAGCGAGCAGGTGATGCTTTATCCAGTCCCTTTCCCGGGTGCCTCTTCCGAACCCCTCGGCTGCCACCTCGTCTGAGAGCTCAAGCGGGGAAGCAATTATGAACGTGCTTTGGAAACCAACGGTGCACTTGTGAAAAGTATGCTTGTAGTCCCGGTGCCTATTATTGTGCAGAGCACAAAATAATGACTCCTTGCACAACAGTCAGTGGTTACTCTCAGGCACCGAGGGAGGAAACCCTAAAAAGACATCTCTCTATATAGAGAGAGACATAGGGATATGCAAGTCTTTATATATTTACATATATATGTCTTTTTAGGGTTTATGCATGCAAGAGCCGGGGTATAGGCCAGAGTGTGTATATATATATTCAGTACAAATTCTTTTTTTTTTTTTCTTTTTTTCTTTTTTTCTTTTTTTTTTTCGGTGGGACCCTCACCGGTGGCCAGGGATTGAACTGGCACTGCAGAGGCCTCGCAACCCAGCACTCAACCACTGCGCCACCAGGGGAGGCCCTTCTGTACAAATTCTTTTGAAACATTTCATTGTCAACACAGGTACCAAATTGTCATTTTGTTACATCTCCAAGTCAAGCGTACAAATCGCTTTATCTACATGCGAGTCAAGCAGAGGGTCCATCTTTTCACAGGGCGATGAACAGGACGATGACGGAGCCGGAGAGAGAGGCCAGAGCTAGAGCACGGGCAGAGGCTATCCTCACACCTGAGAGCAGGTTAACTCCAGCAGAGAAGGTGGTCCCAGGGCCGTCTGGGAGCAGCAGGACTCTCCAGGGGTCACAAAGTCCACGGATTCAACCCTGAGAGCCGAGGACACTCCCTGGTTGGCCTGACTCTGTTGACCGGACGCTCTTCCCAGGTGCTTTCGTCTCTCTGATTTCACGGTTTGTAACTTTTCAAATATCTCCACCCGTTTAATTCTAGCTGTTCTCTAGGGTTAAACATTCAGAAGTTTTTATCCTAAAACAAAAAGACACCCTAATGAATGGGAGAAAATATTTGTGCATCACACAACTGACACGGGGCTGATAGCCAAGGTCTACAAAGAACTCAACGAAAAGAAAGCAAATAACCCAATCGAAAGGCAGGCAGAAGAGCTCAACAGGCATTTCTCCAAAGACACGCAGACAACCGACACATGCACGAGGAAAATGCTCATCGTCACTTATCATCAGGGCAACGCAAATCAAAACCACCTGAGATCGCACCTCACACCTGTGAGAAGGGCCCATGGAGTGTAGACGGGTCCAGCCCCAGTGGAAAACAAGATGGAAAGTTCCTCAAATATTAAAAAAGGATCTGCCATACGATCCAGCAGTTCCACCCCTAGGAGTCTACCTGAAGGCTACAGGAACACTGATTCCAAGGCCTATCTGCACCCTGTTCGGGCAGCACTGTTGACAACAGCTTCGCCATGGAGATGACCTCTGCCCACGGACAGATGAGTAGATGGGGAGACAGGGTCCGTATACACAGTGGAATACCACTCAGCTGTAAAGGATAGCTGGGTGGCAGCGTGGATGGAGCTGAAGGGGATGGCGCTAAGTGAAGTAAGTCAGAAGGAGAAAGACAAACACCAGGTGGCGTCACGTGCAGAACACAGAGAAACAAGACAACGGACCAGATCCAGCCAGGCCAACAACAAACCCTGGCATCTGACCGCAGGACGGAAGTGCCAGAGGGGAGGGGAGGAGAGAGAACAGGTTCCTGGTAGATATTGGCCATCAGGCCCTTGTCAGGTGGATCGTGGGGGACTCTGGGGGACAGATAACATGTGGAACAACACCTGAAGGGAGAGTCTATACCTCTAAACCACACACAATGTTACGAACCAGTATTACCTCAATAAAAAAAAAAAAATCCAGAAGTTTTCTTTAGAAAGGGGAGGCTATACATTTTAAAGTACTCCTGCCCATTCATTTTGTAAAGCTACCAAATATATTTCTCTTTAGGTTTGCAGAATTACTGTCCTTTAGCAGAAAGCCACTGTAGTAGAAAACCATTTCCTCTCTTTCTATTCCTTTCCTCCTCATCCTTTTCTTCTGTCCTGTTTCCTGGGCTCTCCAGCCTACTTTTGGGAACCAGAAGGTACTGTGAGCTAGCAAGACTGCTCGGGGCCCGCCGCTTCCTTCAGTGGACATGAGACGGGCACCCTTCTTCTTTTTTTTTTTTAAAGAGGCATGTATTTTTATTTATTTATTTATTTGTTTGTTTGTTTGTTTGTTTATACATGCACTGGGTGCAGTCAGAAGCGCGGGAGGGTGAGAGAATTCACCAGAGCCAGAGCGGGGAGCAGAGCAGGCAGAAGGACCGAAGGACACTGCTGAGGGGAGCAGCGGGCGGCAGGAGAGGTCTGCGCGCCATGTGGGACCCTCCGCCGGTGGCCAGGGAGCAGCCGGGGATCGAACCGGCACCGCAGAGGCTGCGGGGAGCTTCTCAACCCAGCGCTCAACCGCTGCGCCACCGGGGAGGCCCGGGCACCCTTCTTTCACCACTTGCCAGCTGATGGGCCCCGAGTGCCCGCTCCTCCCTGCTGTCGACAGGGGAACACACGGCACCTCCCTGTTTGCCTGAAAGAGAGACAGGAAGGTCAGGTGAGATAATAAATGTGAAAGTGCTTTCATGAAATGGGAAGAGTCAGGTGTGATTGTTAATAATTCATGAACTGAAACCCTGACTAACACTCTCTAACTAGAGTAAGTTGGTTCTTGAATTCTAAGGGTTTTATTCTATTTAGAATTATCCTTTTTGTTCTATTTAGAATTATTCTTGTTAGAAATGACTTTTACTAAAAAATGGAAAATGCAGAAGTGACTCATTCCAAACCAGTTATTTGCATGCAAGACACTAAAAATGAAAGACTTAAATGTCAAGAGGCAATTAACTCAAGGCTTAAGCCTGTTTGTACAAACTGCCCTCCCCCAAAAAAGTTAGAACAAAAGGCTTTTAAGAATCTTCTCTGTGGATGCTTTTGGGGAGGTGTTGATTGTCAGGGAGGATCAATGATCACTTAGCAGGGCTTGATGACGTCAGTCTGAGTCATGTGAGTTTTACAAACTAGCATGAGGTCATTTTAAACTAATCAAACGGGTGGCTGGAGAAAGGTGTCATTCACTCTTTATTACCTCAACTGGCCACAAAAGCCCTGGACCTGTTAGTGGAACCGGGTTAATGAGCCCCTCTAAATCTGGAGGGTGGTGGTCATTGTCTCATTCAGGCCCTCCTAGGAGACTGTCTACTTCCCACACTGGCCCGAAGGCAGCTTCTCCAAAGGTGGTTCTATGGTCATTGAGAGGCTTTCTGCTTTCAACCGTAGAGCTTTTCTTATTGCAGTCCCTGAAAAGTGATTTCTGGTTGCCCAGAGTTTGTTCTGGGTCACTGAGAATGTTCGCTATTGGTCTGCAAAAGTGTCGGTAAAGCCCCTCGAATTCCCTTCCAACGGCAGGAGGCTAACCCGCCAGTGATGTGACTGTATTAAAAGAGCTGAAGCTGATTATATTGAATGGTTTCTGGAAAGCTGTCTCGTTCTCTTCTGGGTCATCACATCCGACAAGAACACAAATTATTACCAATCACGGAAGGTGCCATAAAAGAAGTGTAAAGGGCTGCATGAAGGGAGACCCAAGGGCTGACTTCTTTTTTTTTTTTAATCTGGCTGGTGGACTCAGGAATTTCTCTTTAGAAAGATTTTTCTAACAGTTGCTACAGGACAGGGAGGGGGCACCCCAGAACCCCCAAACCGGCCTGCTCTACATAGGTTCCGCCATCTGCCGCATCAAGACAAAGCATAGTCTTAGTGCGGAAGAACTTTAATACAATTAGTGTGCAACGAAGACAAGACAATGAATATCGTTTCCAAGCCCTGCACCTGAAGTTACCCGTCCCCTCGTGGGTAAACGTCCAGCCAGACAGGGTTGGCCCAAAGCAAGGCCCGAAAGCCTGTCACAGTCTAAAGCACCTTCCGGCAGGGACCTATAGAAAAGGGTCAGAAACAGACAAGTCTGGGAAGAAAAGAGCAAAATAGGGCCTCCCCGGTGGCGCAGCGGTTGAGCACTGGGTTGTGAAGCTGCCCGCGGCCTCTGCGGCGCCGGTTCGATCCCCGGCTGCTCCCCGGCCACCGGAGGAGGGTCCCCATGGCGCGCAGACCTCTCCTGCCGCCCGCTGCTCCCCTCAGCAGTGTCCTTCGGTCCTTCTGCCTGCTCTGCTCCCCGCTCTGGCTCTGGTGAATTCTCTCACCCTCCCGCGCTTCTGACTGCACCCAGTGCTGGTATAAATAAATAAATAAATCTTTAAAAAAAAAAAAAGAGCAAAATCAAAACCAAGACAAAAGCTGCCTCTGTCCCCTCCCCACAGTCTCTCACCCGCGTCTGTCTCTACCGGCCCAGGCTTCTTCACGTGTCTCTGCTCCACGTGGCTCCTCCAGGCCTCCTTCTTGCTCTCCATCTTCCTCCGTCCTTCCCCAGTCTCCTCTCCTGCTGCTTCTCCTCCCTGCGCAGCTCCACCCTCACATGGGTGGGGCAGGGAACCTGGAGCCTCCCCTTTTCCGGGGGCACTCCCTGTTACAGTGGGAGAGGCAAAGCTAGCAATTTCCCTGAAATGCAGGACCAGTGTCATTTGCTGCTCCAGTGCAAAATGGAGACGGGGTGGTGGGCAGAGGGAGTGGGGAGTTGGTTCAAGAAAGTGTTAAGAGGGCCTCCCCGGTGGCGCAGCGGTTGAGCGCTGGGTTGCGAAGCTGCCCGCGGCCTCTGCGGCGCCGGTTCGATCCCCGGCTGCTTCCCGGCCGCCGGCGGAGGATCCCACATGTCGCGCAGACCTCTCCTGCCGCCCGCTGCTCCCCTCAGCAGTGTACTTTGGTCCTTCTGCCTGTTCTGCTCCCCGCTCTGGCTCTGGTGAATTCTCTCACCCTCCCGCGCTTCTGACTGTACCCAGTGCATGTATAAACAAAACAAACAAACAAACAAAATAAATAAATAAAACATGCCTCTATAAAAAAAAAAAAAAAAAAAAAAAAAGAAAGTGTTAAGAACCTGAAGACAGCGCGGGCAGTGTTGAGGGTTCAGCGGCAAGGGGGCAACCCCGAGTGCAGGACAGGGGCGTTCTCTGACCCGGGGTGGGGACAGCACTAGCTCGGGTAACCACAGTTTCAGGTGACAACACAGAGATTATGTATTTGTGTATGTTGTGAAATAGTTCCCACAAGTCCAGTTAACATCCATCACCAGACAGTTACAGCTTTTTTTCTTGTCATGAGAATTGTTTTCCTCACCACCACCTTTGACCTGCCTCCCTCCCCTCCCCCACCTTTTTTAAAAAAATTATTTTTATTTATGCATACAAGAACTGGGGTGTAGGCCAGTGGTGAGGGGGGTGAGAGGATTCACCAGAGACAGAGTGGGGAGCAGAACAGGTGGATCTACTGAGATACAATGCTGAGGGGAGCAGCGGGGAGACAGGAGAGGTCGCTGCGCCGCGTGGGTAGCTCCCTGGCCGGGGATCGAACTCTGCTGCAGTGGCTGCCCATAGCTTGATAGCACTGAGACGTCAACCCCTGCGCCACCGGGGAGGTCCCCTACCCCACTTTTGAGATCGTGATGAAGCCCATTTGGAGAAGTGTCGGGTTCAGAGAACAGGGTCCTTGGGTTAACTCTGGGAAAAATTTCCCCGGAGCTCGCCTTTCAGCCACAAGGGCGAGTATCCGTATCCGAGGTATGTGAAAGGTCTGTGCAGGAGGCCGGAAGGCAAAAGACCACCAGGAAGCCCACCTGGGGGCAGGAATGCGGAAGCCCACCTAGAAAATTCAGACAATAAGCCTCTCCCTGCCCCACAAATCTTTTCGTGCCCTACAAACACCCCCCCATGCAAACCCAGTTTCCCACCGGACCTCTCCTCACCCTATAAAAGTCTGCCTCCCCCTGGCAACGTGGGTGACTTCACCGACCCCCACCTTGGGTCTGTGAATCCCACCAGGGGCCCAATAAATTTCCCCACCTCTGAGAAACTTGGCCTGGCTCTTCTTTTCTTTACCACGCGGCACCTTTCAGTGTGTGTCCCCGAGAGACGGAGCTGGTAGCTACAAAGGGAGGGGAGGGTCAGGAGGGCTTGCCCAGGCCCACTGGGGCCTCCCTGCCCCCAGAAGGGACAGGTTTGCTGAAGGAGAGGCCTGCAAAGTCCCAGGCGGGCGGCCTTGGGAGGGGAGCAGCCCCTGCTGCTTGTGACTGTCTTGCTTGGTCCCAACCCCGCCATGTAAGCGCCGGGCGTTTGTTTGTGGTTCTGACGTGGTTTGGGGCATCTACTCCCTCCGGCTCCCTGCACGTAGCTGGCAAGGGAAGCATTTCCTTCTGGCTGACTAGACACCCATCGTGCGGACCACCCGAGCGAGATGCGCTAAATTCTTCTTTAGGGGTGATAGCATTTGTCAAACCCTGGGGGAGCTTTTTTAATCGCTGATTCAGTTTCCAGCTTGTGGTTTGTTTATTTGATTCTGCTTCTCCTGGCCCGGTGGCCCGGCAACCTCCTAGAATAAAAAGGAAACCTCAAGACTGAGAAGGATCCGGATGCTTTCCACGCGGGCCGGCGGCTTGGGGTCGCTGTGGTCCTCGCAAGTGATTCTGGGCTCCGGGGCCACTTCACCCACCGGGTGGGCAGAGCCTTCCCGCGGCGGGGCGCTGCGGGTCCCGCGGCCCCCGGGCTGGGGCATCGGAGGGGGCGAGGACACGCGTGGGCGGTTTGGCCCTTCGTCACGACAAGCCAAGCTTTCCTGGGCGGGTCCACTGGGTGATTAAAATGTCCGTCCTGCGGCCGGAGCGGCGGGTACACGGGGGCGCCCACCCCGAACCCGCACCCCGAACCCCGCCCTCCGCGGGCCCGGCCCCGGCCCGAGCGCGCGGCGGCCGCCGGGGGGCAGTGTCGTCTCG